CCGTCAAGACCTTGTCTATGCATACGGTTGGCCATCACGGCTTGTCCGACCCATTTGGAAGGTCAAACGAGCCCCGAAGCGAGCATATCCCTCATTTCGACGATTTTCGTGTGCTATAGCACACCAATTTTTGGGTGATCCGGATTCCGACGTAAAAAATGCCAAATTTTTTCGTGCACGTCCGTCAAGACCTTGTCTATGCATACGGTTGGCCATCACGGCTTGTCCGACCCATTTGGAAGGTCAAACGAGCCTCGAAGCGAGCATACCCCTCATTTCGATGATTGTCGTGTGCTTTAGCACACCATTTTTTGGGTGATTCGGATTCTGACGTCAAAAATGACAAATTTTTTCGTGGACGTCCGTCAAGACCTTGTCTATGCATACGGTTGGCCATCACGGCTTTGTCGACCCATTTGGAAGGTCAAACGAGCACCGAAGCGAGCATACCCTTCATTTCGACGATTTTCGTGTGCTATAGCACACCATTTTTTGGGTGATCCGGATTCTGACGTCAAAAATGCCAAATTTTTTCGTGGACGTCCTTCAAGACCTTTTCTATGCATACGGTTGGCCATCACGACTTTTCCGACCCATTAGGAAGGTCAAACGAGCCCCGTAGCAAGCATACCCCTCATTTCGATGATTTTTGTGTGCTATAGCACATTATTTTTTGGGTGACCCGGATTCCGACGTCAAAAATGCCAAATGTTTTCGTGGACGTCCATCAAGACCTTGTGTATGCATACAGTTGGCCATTACGGCCTGTCCGACCCATTTGGAAAGTCAAACGAGCCCCAAAGCGAGCATACCCCTCATTTCGACGATTTTGGTGTGCTTAGCACATCATTTTTTGGGTGATCCGGAGTCCGATGCAAAAATGCAAAATTTTTTCGTGGACGTCCATCAAGACCTTGTCTATGCATACGGTTGTCCATCACGGCTTGTCCGACCCATTTGGAAGGTCAAACGAGCTCCGAAGCGAGCATACCACCCATTTCACGATTGTCGTGTGCTTTAGCACACCATTTTTTGGGTGATTCGGATTCTGATTTCAAAAATGACAAATTTTTTCGTGGACGTCCGTCAAGACCTTGTCTATGCATACGGTTGGCCATCACGGCTTGTACGACCCATTTGTAAGGTCAAACGAGCAACGAAGCGAGCATACCCCTCATTTCGACGATTTTCGTGTGCTATAGCACACAAATTTTTGGATGATCCGCATTCCGACGTCAAAAATGCCAAATTTTTTCGTGGACGTCCGTCAAGACCTTGTCTATGCATACGGTTTGCCATCATGGCTTGTCCGACCCATTTGGAAGGTCAAACGAGCCCCGAAGTGAGCATACCCCTCATTTCAACGATTTTCGTGTGCTATAGCACACCATTTTTGGGTGATCCGAATTCCGACGTCAAAATGCCAAATTTTTTGTGGAATTCCGTCAAGACCTTGTCTATGCATACGGTTGGCCATCACGGCTTGTCCGACCCATTTGGAAGGTCAAACGAGCCCCGAAGCGAGCATACCCCTCATTTCACGATTGTCGTGTGCTATAGCACACCACTTTTTGGGTGATCCGGATTCCAATGTCAAAAATGCAAAAAAATTTCCTGGATGTACGTCAAGACCTAGTCTATGCATATGGTTGGCCATCACGGCTTGTCCGACCCATTTGGAAGGTCAAACAAGCCCTGAAGCGAGTATACCCCTCATTTCGATAATTTTCGTGTGCTATAGCACACCATTTGTTGGGTGATCCGGATTCCAACGTCAAAAATGCCAAATGTTTTCGTGGACGTCCGTTAAGACCTTGTCTATGAATACGGTTGGCCATCATGCCTTGTCCGACCCATTTTGAAGGTCAAACGAGCCCCGAAGCGAGCATACCCCTCATTTCAACGATTTTTGTGTGCTATTTCACACCATTTTTTGGGTGATCCGGATTTTGACGTCAAAAATGCCAAATTTTTTCGTGGATGTCCGTCAAGACCTTTTCTATGCATACGGTTGTCCATCACGGCTTGTCTGACCCATTTGGAAGAACAAACGAGCCCTAAAGCGAGCATACCCTTCATTTTGACGATTTTCGTGTGCTATAGCACACCATTTTTTGGGTGATTCGGATTCCGACGTCAAAAATGCCAAATATTTTTGTGGACGTCCATCAAGACCTTTTATATGCATACGGTTGGCCATCACGGCTTGTCCGATCCATTTGGAAGGTCAAACGAGCCCCGAAGCAAGCATACCACTCATTTCGACGATTTTCGTGTGCTATAGCACAACATTTTTTGGGTGATCTGGATCCTGACGTCAAAAATGCCAAATTTTTTCGTGGACGTTAATCAAGACCTTGTCTATTCCTACGGTTGGCCATCATGGCTTGTCCGACCTATTTGGAAGGTCAAACGAGCCCCGAAGCGAGCATACCCCTCATTTGGACGATTTTCGTGTGCTACAGCACACCATTTTTTGGGTGATCCGGATTCCGACATCAAAAATGCCAAATTTTTTCGTGGACGTCCATCAAGACCTTGTCTATGCATACGGTTGGCCATCATGGCTTGTCCGACCCATTTGGAAGGTCAAACAATCCCCGAAGCGAGCATACCCCTAATTTCGACGATTTTCGTGTGCTATAGCACTCCATTTTTCAAGTGATCCGAATTCCAACGTCAAAATGCCAAATTTTTTCGTGGACGTCCGTCAAGACCTTGTCTATGCATACGGTTGGCCATCACGGCTTTTCCGACCCATTTGGAAGGTCAAACCAGCCTCGAAGCGAGCATACCCCTCATTTCGATGATTTTCGTGTGTTATAGCACACAATTTTTTGGGTGATCCGGATTCTGACGTCAAAAATGTCAAATTTTTTCGTGGACGTCCGTCAAGACCTTGACTATGCATACGGTTGGTCATCACGGCTTGTCCGACCTATTTGGAAGGTCAAACGAGCAACGAAGCGAGCATACCCCGTCATTTAGACGATTTTCGTGTGCTATAGCACACCATTTTTTGGTGATCTGGATTTTGACGTCAAAAATGCCAAATTTTTTTGTGGACGTCCGTCAAGACCTTGTCTATGCATACGGTTGGCCATCACGGCTTGTCCGACCTATTTGGAAGGTCAAACGTGCCATGAAGCGAGCATACCCCTCATTTCGACGATTTTCATGTGCTATAGCACACCATTTTTTGGGTGATCCGGACGTCAAAAATGCCAAATTTTTTCGTGGATGTCCATCAAGACCTTGTATATGCATACGGTTGGCCATCACGGCTTGTCCGACCCATTTGGAAGGTCAAACCAGCCTCGAAGCGAGCATACCCCTCATTTCGATGATTTTCGTGTGTTATAGCACACAATTTTTTGGGTGATCCGGATTCTGACGTCAAAAATGTCAAATTTTTTCGTGGACGTCCGTCAAGACCTTGACTATGCATACGGTTGGTCATCACGGCTTGTCCGACCTATTTGGAAGGTCAAACGAGCAACGAAGCGAGCATACCCCGTCATTTAGACGATTTTCGTGTGCTATAGCACACCATTTTTTGGTGATCTGGATTTTGACGTCAAAAATGCCAAATTTTTTTGTGGACGTCCGTCAAGACCTTGTCTATGCATACGGTTGGCCATCACGGCTTGTCCGACCCATTTGGAAGGTCAAACGAGCCATGAAGCGAGCATACCCCTCATTTCGACGATTTTCATGTGCTATAGCACACCATTTTTTGGGTGATCCGGACGTCAAAAATGCCAAATTTTTTCGTGGATGTCCATCAAGACCTTGTCTATGCATACGGTTGGCCATCACGGCTTGTCCGACCCATTTGGAAGGTCAAACAAGCCCATGTAGTCAGTGTAAAAATGAGAAAAAAAAACAAATTCACGCGCTCCATTTGCGTGAGTCACAAACGATTTGCCATGTAGGCAAAAAATGGTTTTGCGGTTCAAATCGGGGTGGTTAAGGTGTTCAATAGGTAGTACGTGTGTCTAAGTGAATAATCGGGATAAGTTTGAGTGGCCGCATATGACTTTGGCCTTTTCACAAAGTGAAAATAAAACCCTTCTATACTTTTTAGCAAGACAAAAAATAAAAAAAAAATTAAGCAATAAAAACATATGATAAATTGAGAACTAATTTCTTCTTCTTCTTTTTTGAAGTCAATTTCGAAATTTTAAACAAAAAAAGAAAGTTGTTAATTTACTACTACTCCCTTTCAAAAATTATGGTCGTGATTTCTAAAAATAGTTATTTCAGATTATTTACTGTTAACGTAAAATTAAATTTATTATTAAATTTATAAAAACTTCAATTATATCTAAATATATAAATAAGTGTAAAATAGTTAAATGCGTCTTATAATTATTTTTTACTAAGGAAATATGTAAATGAATAAAAAAATATTTTTTTGGTTGTCCAACTCGGTGTTCGAATGTCGGAGCTCACATTGAAGTCTCGATAAAATCAAAATCGTACATTACGAGGCTCATTCGGAGAAAGCGTTCCAACAAGACTTTCTCCACGCAGAAAGTTTGAATCAGAGACCCGATAAGCCCTTAGCCTTCTAAGAGTGAATCAGGTTTACCACTACATATTAATTACTCCCTCCGTTTTAAAAAGAATAGCCTAGTTTGACTAGTAACAAAATTTAAAAAAAGAAAGAAGATTTTCGAATCTTGTGGTTCTAAATTAAAGTTATATCAAATGTACCAAAATGTCTTTTAATTTTGTGATCTTAAACATGACACGTGAAAAGTTAAAAGCTAAAATGTTGCCAAAAAAAAGGATCATTCTTTTTTAAACAAACTAAAAAGGAAACAAGTCATTCTTTTTCAAACGGATTAAAAGTAATAATCAATATTTCATTGATTGGTTGCATGGCTATCAACTTTATCAAATACAAAGTGGAATCTGAAATATTGGTGTATTCACAGTTTTAAAGGTTTTGTTTTCCATAGATCATTGCTTAAGTAAAAAAGTAATGCTAAAAATACATCAACTTTTTTTTGAAAAATAAAATTAAGCAATTGGTCTTACAATTCGTACAGAAAATAATATCACAAGATATATTAGAGAGTACAGAAGGTTAATTCAACAAAATTAAATGTTTCAACCCACACAAAAAGAAGTGGAACAAAAGCACAATATACACCACTTTGGGAAAACTATCTAAATGACAAACACCCCTGCTAAATTTCTCTATACTTTGAAAAACAAATTTTGTACTTCCACAAGGCACATACAGTACCACCACTTCAAAATATAGCAACTTAGCTGCATCTCATATACTGGCCAGTGTATCAAAGTAGTGTCCGAATTTCAGCAGAATACTGCAATGGTTTTTGTGCTTATTGCTCTCGTGGTCTGGCTAGCCAAATAGAGCTGAGAACCCGAAAAATTGAGAAGTAATCATTTATTGCAAGAAGAGCACGGGCATATTGTCTGGTTGTCAGTATGCGATATATTTGTTGCAATACTAGTTGACGCAGGCTGTCCGCCTGTTAAAAGTGCCAGAAAGATGCAACGGCTTTTAGCTTCACGTATTTTGCCTCTAGAAACGACATGAAACAAAAACAGAAAACTCTGAACAGGGAGTTGTTACACCACATTGCTATTGGGAATGAACATGACACGCTGTCTTGAATCATATAATTCATAAGAGAGATACAAGTATAAGAAGGTCATGTAGATGACAGAAGGCCAATTGTTGATTTAAGGACATTGGGGAACATAACCCTTGGCTTATTTATTGACCTCGTTAAAGGACATAAAAGAGGATGAGGTATCCAGAGACGTCTAGTTCAAAGATCAAGACGTATTCTTAAGGACATAACAAGCATTCTTGCCCACGACTTCCACATGTTCAAACAACTGAACAAGCATTCACAGCATATCCATGGCAAACAATTCAAACAAAGAACAGGAAGCAGCAACAAAAATAGAGTTACCTGACGGAGAAAATCTTCAAGAGTCATTAATTTCCCCATAGCCATTGCCATTTGACACATATAAGTAGTAGCTACATTCCCTGATTCAGTAAATGGAGATCCCATGGCTAATGTCTCCCCCAATGATAGCTGCAGCGCCTCCATACCTTGTGAGAGAGCAACTTCAGCATGATGGGATGACAGCTGCAAGTTGTTAAAGTCAGCTACTTGTTGCTCACTCAGAGGATCTAACTGATTGACTAGAAGCTGCATTACCAAAGAAATCATTTCATGAAATGAGACAACAACATACCCGATGTAATCCCACAAGTGGGGTTTGAAGAGGTAATACACATTGAAGAAAAGATACAAAGCAAATGAAGAGAACGAATAGCAAAATATAGCAATACACACAGAGAGAGAAAAAAACCACGGAATTACTAAATAATGATCCTAACAAGGAGAAGCGGAGAAGAGGCTAGCCACCCTGCCTCTCCCACACAAAACTCGACAACACTCAGCTACCTACTAGCCCTCTGGCCTAAGCTAAAGTTCTGTCATGTCCTATCTAATCAACTCCCTCAGTGCTTCCTCGGCCTACCTCTACCTTAGTCTCCCCACTCTGTCACAACCAACCATTCACACATCCTTACTGGCAGATCCACGCATCTCCTCTTCAGATGCCGACTATAAAGAATGATGCATAATTAGATATAAAGAAACTTGTGTACGGCTTAGAAGCAGCATTTTGAACTTATACTATACAATTATGATTATTCAATTTTGCAAAGAGTGTTATCTACAGTAGCAACTTGAGGTTCTTAATTTATCAATTTCTGAAAGATGCATGAAAAAATGACACAAGAACAAAAGCAAATATAATGTACAACACTCATATAATATCTGCACAAAATCCATAAACAGAGAGCGAAAGCACATTAACATCAGAGGCAACTGGAAGTCTGCTAACATCACCAAGCTGAAGACGCTGACGAAACCTCATCCGGGATGGATAGAGATAATTACACAATTTTATCCAAGCTTTTGCTTCTAGGAATCAGGTTTGTTAGAGATGCTATTATGCAGTGGATGCACGAAAAAAAGCAAGAGCTTCAACACAATAATTGTACGTATGTCCCATTTGAAGGAGAATCTCAAACCTTAACTATCCAAGGTCACGAGACTACAATATGGTGTTATAGAAAATAGTGACATGAATATGTAAATGTACAATGCACGGCACCTCATTCATTCGGAAAGTGAAACCACCCAATCTTTAGCAAGTATTCTAGATTTTAACAAACATAAATCAATGAAGTTCCACATATAACAGTTTCTTATAATCATATATAGGGGAAGTCTAGAAAGGAAATATGGAAGAACGGGTGCAAAATTGCCGGAAATGAGAGTAAGAAGAGGTCACCTTAAGCAGTAACGAGGGGCGGAAACCACCAATCCACATACAACAACGCTCAGCAGGGGTTTTCCACATGCCTGACAAGACATGGACTACGTCCGCCTTGGCTGCATTTCCTTTCATCCTAAAGACCTCATCGTAATGTGCAGTGACATTATCCGCAATTCTTCGCAGTTCAGGATCACGTGCATGTGATTTGACAGCGTTCCTTAACTCATTGATGTGTTTGTCGTGTTCTTCTAACCATCGAATATAATCTGTATCAAATGCTACGGGCCCTGCAGAACGGTAGCATCTGAAAGGTCATCTTAGCACAAGGAAACAACTTTTTGAGTGCAATCATGAAGACGATATGGGGTTGAACTTTATCTTGTTAAGGTAAGCCAGTCTAATACAAAAAAGTCAAGTATTAAACTGAATGCATAAAGCAGCAACTGGCTCTTTCATTAGCACTATCATAACAACCATCACAAATGTGAGTATTGAGAACCTATTGGAAGCTGCAGTTTACTTTGTTACTCAATTTCAAATTTAATGTCATCCACAGTGTATCAACACAAAGATGGATTCCACAAGTCATATCATATCATTAATTGATTCCAGTTAATCAGGTAAAATAAAGAAAACTGAAGTTCTCCAATTTTCTTCAAGTAGAAAAAACACATTATTTCCAATCTTATTTGCTTCCAAAACACAGACCACACAATTAAGTACGTTTGACTGCAATCTATGGTGGATGCTTTTCTGTCTAGTGAAACCAACAATTCCGATTCAACCAAACCTAACTAGAATTACCCAAATCCTGTATAATAAAGTGTAATGACTAAATAACAAGCAACTCCTAGTTCAATTTGGTAGCAAAATCCCATCAATTTCTTGTTTGTTGAAATGTAAAAAAGGAAGCTAGGGCACACAAGTTCAATCACCAAAAAAAAGGCCATACCACTTTCTCCCTGTTGAGGTGCTCGTTCAATGTCCTGCTCCAACTGCGATACCTGGACAATTTGGGCTGGCCGGCGGTCACCCCTCCACAACGCAGTAGAGCTCACAATCCTATGGCCTTCGCTATCACCCATTGCATCCATTCAGCTAAATGTTCTGTGAGCTCAACAGTGCCGTTTGAATGGGCTTAAAAAGTCCGAAAATGATTTATTTTATGTAAAAAGATATTTTAAATTAAAAATTAAAAGTTAGACGAGGGATGTTTTTTTTTAATTTAAAAGTTATTTTATTTGATTTAATTTATCTTTGAAAATTAGTAAAATTAACTTTCTATAAATAATTTCGGATGAAAGGTTTAATATTATAACTATAATATCATAAAGTTATTAAAACATTTAACAAAAAAATGATATATCAAGTCTAACAAAAAGAATAAATGATTTGCGATGTAAAATATCAAAGTCCATACTATTAAAATAAATGAAACTTAAAAATATAACATAAATTCTAAATTCAAAAAGAAAAGTTTAACATAATACTCTTATGTCAATTACAAAAAATACCTAAATTTATTACCTTATTTAACAATAAATTTAACTTTAATTTAAAGATTAGAATACTAAAAAAATTATGCAAATTTTAAAGAAAATAAAAACCTTATTCAACAATAAATTTTACTTTAATTTAAAAATTAGAATACTAAAAAAATTATGCAAATTTTTTAAAAAATAAATAGATAAAAGATCTTACTTTGAAAAGTCCAAGCAACACAACCTAAATTACATGCCTAAATGGGTTTATAGGCCCAATCTTCTTCATGACATGTCTTTATTTACGAAATGGGTTTATAGGCACAATCTTCTTCATGACATGTCTTTATTTACGAAATTTTAAATTTGGAGGCTCTTACTTTGAAGAGTCCGAGCTACATATACTCTGCCTTTGCAACATGCTTTGCAAGTATAAAGCATCGTATCAATTAGTTTTTAAACGCCGATTATCAATTAACATTGTGTTACATTCAAACTAGTACCCAAATTTTCTTTATAAAATTTGTTGATGGACAAAAAATTTGATCTTAGGATAGGGTAGGGGCTGCGCGAACGCAAGCCCCCTCAGCAACAAATTATGACATAGGCTCAACCACTTGGGCCGACCTTAGGCAGGAACCCCTCCAAAGTGCAATGAAGGTCACAAGCCTAGGCCATGGGTCTTATTGATCACCGATTGACCCTGTCCAGGTAAATATGTAATCCAGTGAGCTCAGCCCATTATTAATACTACTTCCTTTTGCTCAACTTCTCCCTCTTGTATGCTGATGTGGGAGATTTAGTCGAAAATGGCATTACTCTCTCTAGCATTCTGTTTTGAAAAGAAAGGAAATTACTATCTAAAATGTGTCAACTTACTGAATTTGTTTTTTGTAAAAACACAGCAACAAAACATTAAGAGTTTAGAACCACATGATATACAAATACTATACATAATGAATCCACATGTAAAATAAGTGTTTACTCTTCTTACCCAATGGGGATGGAAATTGTACAAAATCATAGACAGGCGTTATCGTTGAGACCAGAACAACATTAACTCCGGCAAACAACAGAAGACCTGAAATTTGAAATGAAATCACTCATCTTAGTTTTTGGTAATGTAGTCATTGTTTTCTTAATAAGTGTGTATAGGAAGCAAAGGAGTATAAGTTCAACAAGAGTGTTCGACAGCAACAATCACCACGTAGAAGTAGATAAATATATAATCAAGGTATTTTAAATAAATAAGATATGCATTACTCTACTCAATCAACTAAAGAGATGAACATTTTTACTTAGGTTTGGGTAGGGGCCGCGCGAACGCAGGCTCCCGCAGCAACAAATTGTGACGTAGGCTCGACCACTTGGGCCGACCTTAGGCAGGCACCCCTCCAAAGTGCAATGAAGGTCACAAGCCTAGGCCATAGGTCTTATTGATCGCCCATTGACCCCGTCCAGGTAAGTATGTAATCCAGTGAGCTCAGCCCATTATTAATACTACTGCTTTTGCTCCACTTCTCTCTCTCAGATACTGATGTGGGAGAATTAGTCCAAAATGGCGTTAATCTCCGAGTAATCAGTAACATATACAACATCGCTAAACTAAGTAGCAACACGCTGACATTCTCCCCGGCATAGATAACAAAAAGTTAGTCTCTGGTAACATGGCAATCATCAAAAGAAATGGAGGAAAAAACTGAAGTCTATACTCAAAGAGAGCATTCAAGAGACATTAATAAAATCAGATTTTGAGTTATAAATGGATGATATGGCTCAATCAACTGAAGAGTGTTGTCTTAATTAAACAAGTCAAGTTCTCTATGAAAGGATGAATTTTGGACAACGTATATAATACACACACATTTCTTATATAGCATCGCTGCAGCATCACCAGCTTCCTCAGGTCATGTTAGTTTTCAACTTCTTCAGTCTTACATGAAAATGTTAACTGTATAGCCATTGATCTTACAAACCAAAGGACCATAAGCAAACCAGCTATACCCTTATCTGTTTCAGCAGATCTTCGTTTTGTATCGATCAGCCAAAGCAACTCTCACCAATGCCATATAAACAATTGTTCTAGTAAACCAATTTCTGTAGAAGTAAGTCATCTAGAACTTAGCAATCTGTAACTAGTCCTTCAAACAGGTATTAGTTTTTAGACTAATGGCCTTTGCCAAACTTAAGAATATGCAGCACAAACTCTTGGAATCATCCACAAGCTCCTGCATCTGCTAAAGGTATTCGCTACCCATAAGATCAGGCCCAATGTAATAGTACTGTAGCTGGTTTGTATTTTCAAGACAAATATTTGATCTTTGAAGCCAAGACTCATTATCGCGCCTTCTTTGACTTATGGCACTTTTAGATTGTTAGTCATATAGACATCACTTATCGTTGTGTTTGATAATGTAGTCGAAATAATCTTATATCAAACAGATGGGGCAGAGAAAACATATGTTTTTGTAAAATTCAGATGGGCCAGAGAAATTTTTGGGCGTAGATTTGGGCAGGGGCTGCGCGAACGCAGGCCCCCATAGCAACAAATTATGACGTAGGCTCGACCACTTGGGCCGACCTTAGGCAGGCACCCCTCCAAAGTGCAATGGAGGTCACAAGCCTAGGCCATAGGTCTTATTGATCGCCCATTGACCCCGTCCAGGTAAGTAAGTTTTCCAGCCTGCTCAGCTCATTACTAATACTACTGTCTTTACTCCACTTCTCTCTCAGATGCTGATGTGGGAGAATTAGTCGAAAACGGTGTTACTCTCCGAGTAATCAGTAACATATAGAGCAACAAGCCAACAAAATGGCAACTGTTAACAGCAGCGCGATTTCCTTCAGAATCTTTCTGTTCTTGTATTACATTATCCAAAGAAAATGGATATGGCTCAATCAACTGAAGAGTTGTTGTCTTGATTAAACAAGGCAACTTCTCTAAGAAAGGATGAATTATCGATAACATATATAATAATACACACACATTTCTTATATAGCATCGCTGCAGCATCACCAGCTTCCTCAGGTCATGTTGGTTTTCAACTTCTTCGGACTTATGTCAGGTTCATTTTGTTCAGAACCTTATTCTGCGTCTTCAACAAGAGTCTATAAGCTTACGTGAAAATGTATATACAGTAGCAGCTAACAGGAGTGTTATCTGTATAGCCATATACGGATACAAGCAAAATAAGTGTCTTACGACATCACAGACAGGAGTTATCATCGAGAACAAAACAGCATTATGTCACATTAGAAGACCACTGACAAAGGCCGAGTTCTGTGATGGATAATGACATCAAACACGGTAATACACAAGCTCATATCCAGAATCCAACAAAGAACAAAATACATACAGGAAGCATCAAAATCAAGTATAGAAACAACAGCTATATTGAGAACAGTTGAAATAAATTCATATATGAACAACTTTTCATAACATTTTCACTCACTTTATAACATGAGCAATTCTTATTAGCATTTTATTTTGTTTAACCAATTTTTTTCTTTATGAATGTATTATGACATATTCAAACTAAATTTATCTTTCTATATTTTTTTATTCACACTTAATATATAATATAACAATTTAATATATTTTGGAGCCCAATTATAGAGCCGTGCTTAATATATGACCAAACAAATTTAGATCTTAGTATTGGGCAGGGGCCGCGCGAACGCAGGCCCCCACAGCAACAAATTATGACGTAGGCTCGACCACTTGGGCCGACCTTAGGCAGGCACCCCTCCAAAGTGCAATGAAGGTCACAAGCCTAGGCCATGGGTCTTATTGATCGCCCATTGACCCCGTCCAGGTAAGTATGTTTTCCAGTCTGCTCAGCCCATTACTTGTACTACAACTTTTGCTCTGCTTTCTCCTTGATGATGATGTGGGACAAAATTCATTGTTTGAATGGAACTTATATGTATATTTCGATAATATATCATATTGATGAATGTAATATATGAATAAAGTGATCGTTCTTCATCACTACATCGACAATTTGAGATATCAGTATTTTAAACAATCTAGTAATCTACATATTTTTATTCAAAATAATTCAACTTGACCTTGAAAAGTAGAGTATGACATTTATAATTCAGAAAACAGGAGTATAAAGATGAAGAAAAAGAAATATATCAACATATTCATCCTTATTTTTTCACAAGTTTTGTTGGTGTAATTAGATTTTATGGAAAGATAAATAACAACAGATTCTAACATTTCTTGCAGAAATATGCTTGTATATTTTCCAACATATCAGAAGAGAGACTTTTGTAGTCACAAGCTATAATTTGATTAAGCATAAAACTTTCTAAAAATATCTATTACACTTCTTAAAAATCCCTAAACTTTTTCCTTGTAAAACTAAAAACACAGGTACATTATTGGTTCCTAAGTCACAAAGTAAAATTTTGGCATTCTATAAACCTAAGGAGAAAGAAAACAAATTCTGCACTTCCACAAGCACATACAATACCACTTTATACATAAGAGTAACTTTGCTGGATCTCATATACCGGCCAGTGTATCGAAGTAGTATATCTGAGTTTCAGTAGAATATCGCAATGCATGTCATACTTATTGCTCTCGTGGTCTGGCAAGCCAAAGAGAGCTGAGAGCTCGAAGACGTGAGAAGTATTCACTTATTGCAAGAAGAGCACGGGCTGATTGTCTGGTTGTCAATATGCGATGCATTTGTTGCAATGTCTGTTGACGCAGGTTGTCCGCCTGTTAAAAGAGCCAGAAAGATGCAACGACGTTTAGCTTCACGTATTTTGCCTCCACTGACGACATAAAACTAATATAACAAACCAGAAATCTCTGAACATTGACTGGCTGTCTTGAATCATATGATTCACAAGAGAGATACAAGTATGAGACAGAAGGACAATTGTTGATTTAAGAACGTTGGAGAACATAACCCTTCGGTTATTTTATGATCTCATTAAAGGACATAAAAGAGGACAAAGTATCCAGACATTTTTTTTCCAAAGACCAATAAAAACAAGACATTCTGAAGATTCTGTGGGCAATGCATGCTGGTTGCAGTTACAAAGACCTCCAGAACAATAATTGCTTGCCCCCGACTTCCACATGTTCAAACAACTGAACGAGCATTTGCAGCTTATATATTGTAAACAATTAAAACAAACAAAAAAGGAAGCAGCCGCAAAAATAGAGTTACCTGACGGAGAAAACCTTCAAGAGTCCCTAATTTCCCCATAGCCATTGCCATCTGACCCATATAATTAGCTACATCTCCTGATGACCCTTCAGTAGCAGGAGATCCGTTAGCTAATGTCTCTGCCAAGGATTGCTGCAACGCCTCCATACCTTGTGAAAGGGCATCTTCTGCTTGATGGGATGACTGCTGCAAGTTGTAAATGCCAGCTAACTGTTGCTCGGTCAGAGGCTCCAACTGATTGACTAGAAGCTGCATTACCAAAGAAATCATTTCACAAAAAATGAGACAACAGCATACCCAGCGTAATCACACAAGTGGAGTCAGGAGAGGAGAGGGTAGGACGTACGCAGACCTTACCCCTACCTTTGTGGGTAGAGAGGTTGTTTATGATAGACCCTCGGCTCAAAAGAAAAGAAAATAATTTGAAGCATGGTAGCAACAAAATAGCAAGGTACAGAGCAAATGACGAAAAGGAATAGCAAAAGATAGCAATACACATTAAAGTAAAGGAAACTACGTGATTACTAAATAATAATACTAATAAGGAGAAGCGTAGAGGAGGCTAGGCCCTGCCTCTCACACACAAAGCGTGACAACACTCCATTACGTACTCGCTACCTACTAAGCTGCAGTTCATGTCTTGTCTTATCACCTCCCCAGTTCTTCCTCGGCCTACCTCTCCCTCTCCTTGTTAACAATGAATTTCCCACACTCCCTTACAGGCGCATCCACGCACCTTCTCTTTACATGTCGAACAATCTCAGCCTACGGATAAGATAGTTATAAAGAAATAATGCCCCTAATTGGTTATAAAGAAACTCATACACAGAAGGGTGTTATCTACAGAAGCAACTTGAAGTTCTTAAATTGTCAACATCTGATTGACGCGTGAACAAATGACACAAGAACAGAGGAAAATATAATGTACAGCACAGATATAATTCCTGCACAAACATCTGTGAACGGACAGAGTGAAAGCATATTTAACATCAGATGCCACTGGAAGTCTGCTAACATCACCAAGCTGGAGAAGCTCAGGAAACCTCATCCGGGATGGATAGAGATAATCACACAATTTCATCCAAGTTTTTGCTTCTAGGCATCAGGTTTTCTTTAGAGTCGCTATTATGCCAGTGAACACAAGAAGAAAATCAAAAGCTTCAGTACAATAAATGTAAGTCCATGCCATTTGAAGGAGAATGACAGAACCAAGGTCACGAGACTACAGTGATGGTGTTATAGAGGATAATGACATAAAAATGCAATTGTACACTACACGGCACCTCATTCGTTCGGAAAGTGAAACCATCCAATATTTAGCAAGTAAATTTTCACAGGCATAAATCAATGAATCCACACTACTAAGAACTTATCAGTCCTGCTAATAATAGGACCTTTTCATACATGATCAAGCAGCATAACGGCTCTTTATAATCCTTTACAGGAAAAGCCTAGACTGGAAATATACAAGAACAGATGCAAAATTGAACACATGAAAACAAGAAGAGGTCACCTTAAGAAGTTCCGAGGGGCGGAAGCCACCAATCCACATAAAACATCGCTCGGCAGGGGTTTTCCACATCCCTGACAAGACATGGAATACGTCTGCCTTGGCTGCATTTCCTTTCACCCTAAAGACCTCATCGTAATGTGCAGTGACATTATTCACAATACTTCGCAGTTCAGGGTCACTTGCATGTGAATTGACAGCGGTTCTCAATTCATTGATGTGTTTGTTGTGTTCTTCTAACCATCGACTATATTCTGCATCAAATGCTAAGGTCCCTGCAGAACAGCAGCATCTGAAAGGTTATCTTACCACGAGAAAACAACTTTTTCAGTGCAATCAGAAATTAGGGGTTGAACGTTATCCTATTAAGAATGGCCAGCCTAATACAAAAAAAGTCGTGTATTTAACTGAATGCATAAAGCAGCAACCGATTCATTCATTATCTTAATCGTAGCAACCATCACAAGTGTGAGACTTACGAACATGAACCAAGTACCAATTGAAAGTTGCAGTTTACTTTGTTCCTCAATATTGAATTAAATGCCATCCACAGTGTATTGACACGCAGATGGATTTCACAAGTTATCTCATTAATTGAATCCACTTAATCAGGGAAACTCAAGAAAACTGAAGTTCTAACAATCTCCTTCAATTAAAAACACACATTATTTCCGTCTTATTTGCTACCTAAACAGAGACCATGCGACACACAAAATATGTGAGACAAACTATTCCTGGAAAAACTGAAAGGTGCATAAAGTGCATATAGGAAGATTTTAAGATAGAGATAGCCATCATGTATAAATATCTGTTTCGACTGCAATATGGTGGATGCTTATCTGTCTAATGAAACCAACCATTCAAATTCCACCCAAAATTTCCTAGAACTACCCAAATCCTGTCATAGTCACCTATGAGAGGCACATCTAGATGATCTTAAAGATATCATAGCTGATACAATAAAGAGTATTGTCAAACTACGGAAGTTGCAACAACATACCCAGTTTTGCTCTCCTAGAACAAGTCTTTATTACATCAAGTGTAGTCTGTCCTGCTGGGAGTAATCCCAAAAGTGGGTTCTGGGGAGGGAAATAGAATGTGCAGACCTTACCCCTACCTCGTAGAGCTAGAGATACTATTTTAGAAAGATCTTCGGCTCAAGTGCAGCAAATCAAAGTGGCTGGGGTAAAGGAGATATGGCAGTGGAGAAAACAGGTTAATTAATATGGAAAGCAATACATGACTTCCAGAAGATGAACAATAATAAAAAAGAAATAATGTGGCAACTGAAACACTAACGACAACAGATGGTAACAGATTCAAATGCAAGAAACATGAAATAACAACCCACTCCTAGCTCAATTTAGCATCAAGAAGTGATACTTCCTCAACAGATCTAGAAGAAGCCCATCAATTTTCTTGTTTGTTGAAATGAAAAAAGGGAGCTACAAGAGAAGGGCATACCACTGGCGCCCGCTCCATTTGATTGATCTGCCATGTTTGAGATGTACTTCCCCTTCAGTTGCACAAAAAAACAAAATAAGAGAAGATTGTGGAACCTCCTCAAGTTGTCCTCCCGAAAGCACATGAAAGGAAGAAGCAAATACCTGTTGACGTGCTCGCTGAAGGTCCTGCTCCAACTGTGATAGCTTCAACCGGCTATTCTCCAGCTGTTGTACATATGCCTGCAGCATAAGCAAGTACGGAATTAGTCATTTAAAGACGAGTGAGAAATAATCAGCTGACATATTCTCTTCAGCATCCCTAATATACTAAAATGACAAACTAGTGTGGAGAATGAGAGAAGAAAGGTTTACTTTTTTCCTCAGTCTACTTTTTCTAGCAGCTTCACGATTTTGGGCAAGTCTCCGCAATGTCTGCAAGAAGTGATGATAAGCAAAACGAAAATAAGAAAGGAACATGAGTTCTCCTCTTCTAAGACTAAATAGTGAGAAATGAACCTTCTGATCCAAGACTTTTTCTTTTGATTTGTCACTGGAATCAGAAGCTGCAATAGCCCTGGATTGACCCGTCTCAATCTGCATAATGGAAAAGAATTTTCATACATGACTGAAATGTAAGAACACAAACCAGATTATGATAAAGAAGTTTCCGCTTAATTTTTAGGCATGCAATAACAATTATTGGAAGTTCGAAACTAAAAGTCTGCATTAACAATCACTGAAACTAAAAGATCCACAAAAAATACAAAAATCCCCTTGTTTCTTAAGGAGAAAGTGTATGTTGCATGTACAAACTGTTCAGTTCAATAAAAATACATATTTGTGAACCAAAAACTCAAGTATGAAATTGAAGTGATGAAACCTAGACAATTAACCAATTATTGCTCAATAACAGCTAGTTTGGGATTGGTTAACATGAATCCTCTGTATCTATTCCACTTATCCATTTCTCTACAATACAAATAATAGTCTTATATTTTGGATTAATAATTCAATAATACACACTCCATTCCATTTATTTTGAATTTTACGGGTCGCAGAATTCAAGTAATAATGATTGAAAAGTTCATCTAACAAATAAAACATAAGATTGAAGTTTGAAATTTGATTACCTTAAACAATTTGGATTCTTGACAGATGTAAAAGTTGCAGAGATGGAATATGTCAAAACATTTTGAGACATCCCAAACAGAAAAGAATCATATAAGATGAGAAAGGAATAGTGCTAATCATTCAAGGAAAATTAGAGTTCTCGATAACCAGAGATTCTCCAAATTTCATTCTCTTTCTTACACGGACATACAAGTGACAAAATCTATGTTGCAAGCACTCTTCAAAATCTCCACCGTACCCAAGTAGACACGACATAGGTGTGGGTGTGAGATCTATAGCAGACTGGGTCAACTTATCTTGGGTATTTGCCACATTCTAGACCGAGAAGTATAAATTGATCTGGTATTTAGTTTGATTTTTGGTTTTATGTCATAAATATAGATAAAGTATGTGAACGTGGTCAGTCTCAGAAAATGTCAAGTATGAGAACCCTTTTCTATTGCGTGAAAAAAGAACAAAATATTGGTGTTTATAAGGAATGAACTTCTATTAATTTATGTTCAATAACTTCAACTAATTGAAAATTTGAAATATAACTTTATATATCATAATAAACAGTTATTGGTCATATCCCAGCACCTGTATCAGTACTCGGATACATACCCTTGAATCCTAAAATTTATGTGATAAAGAATCTGAATTTTCCATAGGCAGCAACCAAGTCGGATGCCCGAACCCAAGTCTGATCAGCGTAGACCCAAATAGAACAAAATGACTCAAAATTAACATTTCACTTTATGAAGGTGGCCAAGTGCAATAACAACAACCAAAACCCCAGTCGATATTTGTTGGTTTGCCTAGATGGCCCCTTGACTCTTTGCTTCGGTTAAATTTTATTCTTACTCAAATCAAGATAAGTTCCAAGACATTGCAGGTCTTTACAAACCAAAGAGAAATGGACTAAGAGAGGCTAGGCGATGAAACTGAGACAAGCAGAGTAAATTACCCTTTGATTTCTATCATCTCCATCCATGTCAGTTGAAGTATCAGTGCGAGAACCAGAATCTGCCATGTTGGACTCGCCCCAATTCTCAGGATGAGTGCCAGCTGCAGGAACTAAGTTTGATTGCAATTGTATTACATGAGATCCTGGAGCAGCAGTAGACAAACTTGTATTTGAAGGAGCTAAATTCTGCAAGCTCAATAGGAAAAAAAATATATCAAAATAAGCTTAAAGCCTTGCCCTCAGTCTGTGGAATCTCTGGCAATATCAGATTAACAGTTTCTACTTCTCTTTAGGAAGAAATGTAGAGAGATTAAATGCCGTAATTACCCTATTGATGGTCCCAGAGACGTCAAATCCCACTGCTGGATTAGCTGCAGATGTAGAATTAAATAGGGGACCTAAACCAACAAAAGATATATTCATCAATCATACTACACAGGTAATGGTCAGCCTTCACATAAGTGAGACAAGTTCCTGGACAATTGTGGTTCACATATAACTGAACACTAGAAAAGAAACACAAGTGCTTGTCAGTAAAATCTAGCATTCCTACTACAGTTGACATCAAGCTCAAGAATACCATTGCAACCACAGTTCTCTAATAAGGGGGATCCGTACCACTTTCAAACATCAGTCTAAACATTTAGGTTCAATATTATCGAGAATCTGGAGAACACAAATCCAGTTTATTATACCATAAGTTAGTTCTTCCACGCCGGAAGCTACATTGACAGGGCAGTTTGTCTGAAGAGCACAAAGGAATAAAACCCCAATTATCCTTGTCCTCCATGCTCTCCGACATTTTTTGGCTATTGTTTGCAATATTTTCACATTATGTTTGATAGGTACTCCCTTTGTTTTAATTTGTTTGCCTGGTTTCGACGTGGCACAAAGTTTAAGAAGTAAAGAGGACTTGAATCTTGTGGTTTGAACTCATATGTTGAATGTACCAAAATGTCTTTTAATCTTGTGGTCTTAAACATGTCATGTGAAGTGGAAATATAAGAGTTGTCAAAAAGGAGGCGTTCTTTTTTAAATGGGTTATAAAAGAACATAAGACAAACAAATTGAAACGGAGGGAGTACCATCTTTACATTACATTGTAATCCGAAAACGACAAACACAAAACCAGATGGTGGCGACTGTATTAAATATAGATAGATCAGGAAATAAGAGCAAATTGTGCAAATGACCATCAGGTACATAACTTATGAAGTCCGTGCTTTTGACCTAATTTTTTAACAGTGCATTTAGAGCTAAACCCAAATTTAATGCAATCAGAACTTTTTCTTGACACTGCTACTTTTTTATGTAAAAAGGTGACATGTCTTGCACCCATATTAGGACAAAAAACAATTCCCATTTGTTTGTTGGTGCCAAATCCAACCTTCCTGGAATAATACTAATTTATCTCTTATTTAACATTGTCCAAATAGGAAGACCCAGTTCAAGATATATCAAATATTTGGAACAATGAACTTAGTCTTCTTAATCCAAATTAGCTATCTCAACACCACAAAACATTATTTACTTCAAATACTATGCACTCGAATATATTTTCCAAACTATAGATATCTACACAGGAATGTTACTTTTTGGTAGATCATCTACAAAGAGGTTACTACATATACTATGTGCGTATAACATAAATGGGAATATTATTTTTCTTATATTATCTATATAGAGGTTACTTCATATACTATGTGTCGAATATATCTATATAGAGGTTACTTCATATACTATGTGTCGAATATATCTTCCAAACCTATAGATATCCACATAAGAATATTACTTTTTCAAATATTATCTATAAAGAGGAGTCATACGTTACGGTACCACATAGGTCAAGGGTATTAATTTTACCTTCTTTATATGGTCTTCAGCAACTCTCACCGAATGAACTAGTTTTTTGGGTAGAGTTATGCCCAAGGTCAGTTGCTCTTTAAATAGTATGATGCAATTCCCGCAATGTTAAATTACCCAATGTTGGACCCTCATGTCCACATATCCCTATATAATCTTGAACTCTCACTTACAGTTGGAACTAAGTTAAGTTCAAATTCCCACTTCTCTTACTACATTTAGACCTGACTGGCTAGAAAAGCAAAGAGAAGTCCTACGCCATGATCAGTCTCTTCAGCTCATTTCAACTTTTCGGAGTCTCAACTACCAAATTTGCATAGAAAGTAAAACTTGTTGATGAGATCATCGGTGACCAAACGCTCACTAGAAACACTAACGACAAAACACACTTGGTGCCTACTGTAAAGCTGTAATTTAAAGAACGCTCAAACATAAGAAGATTCTTTTATCAGATGAGTGAGAGGAAAGATAGGCAGCCCAAGAACATTCAGGACTAGTCTTAAAAATACATACTTCGATTAACATTAACACCATCTCCAATACGGAATCCAAGATATTGCTCAAGCACCCCAAATTCAGACATTCGAGAAGTATTTGTATTGTTCCCTTCTGTGCCCCTGAAATCCAAAATTACAGCCCAAAAATACTGTTAAACAGGAATTAATAATTGGAGATGTCACCTTCATATAAGCATATCAACCATGACATATAATAATTCTAGATTTATACTAACACGTTGCACTGTAAATATTCAGGAGGAACTCTGAGAAACAACTTGACGACAAAGTGGTTGAACATTCTTTCCTCTTCTTATTAAATTAAACGCGTTTCTAAGGACTAGCGGAGTATTAATAGGAATACTTGATTTACCTAAACAGTGATCTGGACAACCAGTGGCAAGCTTAGAGGGGCAGAAGAGGGTTCATTTGAATCCCCTTCGCCGGAAAACACATGATATATAAAAAGTTAAAATAATTTCTGAACCCCCTTAACGAAAATCCTACCTCCACCGCTACCAGGAACTATCCGATCCTGAAACAAAGAGTGTTCAGCTCTCCTTTTTCATTCCTACCCTAAAACTCATTAAAAGTCACCTCTCCAAGTTACAATCAAACTATAAGAGACTTCTATTTTTCATTTACATAAACAAACAGAAAGATATATAGCCTAGTCCCTATAACAACAATCTCAAAACTCGAATCCTTCAACATAAACATAAGAATAAACAGTAATCCCCATCTGAAACAAATCCAACACTTGCAAAGAGCAAACTAAACTTTACAGAAATTCAAAAAAAGTGAAAGTATGTTAAGAGATATACATGTGATTTTTTGAAACTGGAATCTGAGAAATGAAACTTGGCATCCCAAAATTACCACTCTTATAGCCTTTTCTACCAATCTTCACATCATCATCAACAATCCACAACCTCAGTTCATACACTCAAAAACTCTACAATAACAAAATCAAACTACAAACCCCTTTCAAACAGTTGACTAAATACAAAAACTTCCAAAAGCAACCGCTTAAAACTTTAACACATACACCATTAAAATCAAGAAAACCCCAAAAAGAAAAAAAACAGCTGTGCATAAACCCTCACTTCAAACAACAAAAAGGTCAAAACTTTATCAAAACCCAACTACCCCTTCATCAAAATGAGTTAATATCTAATACCCAAAGCTTAAAATTAATAAAATAAAATAAAAAACTCAAGAAAATTGAATTTTCTACAACCCCACTTCGTATAAAAACTAAATAAACCAAAGCTTAGAGTGGTTCAATGACTGGTCAGTAAACAATTTCAAGTCGAATTTTCTGTATAAAGACTCATTTTTTACACAAAATTCAACGAACCCAGAATTAATTTTTGTATAATTTTACTTAATATTATATATTTATGACCACGAACAACGAGGGAAAGAGAGAGGAAGATGACAAACGTGACGTTTAGATCATTCCAAACTACGCTAGCCCCCACGTCATTTTCTAAGCCACCGAGATATATATATATATATATCAATATTTATTCGATCCGATTATTTTTATTTGTTTATTTTAAATTTTATCTATCGTTCTAATATGGATATTTGTATTGATTGATGTATATATAATTTAGATTTTAGAGAAAAAAGTGATTAATATTTTTAAATATAAATAAGAAAAAATAATTAATTTTTTTTTTATTATATATTAAAATGACAAATAAGGAAAAGTGAGAGGTATATTATAATATTCCTAAATTATTTAGCGCACTTACATAATAAAACAATCTAATTTCAGATTCTGCTTATAAAGTTTTGGAAGTTACATGTAACACACCCAAAGTTTTTTTGTTTTCACTTGAGTCCCTTTAGTTGAAGTAGTGGGTTTTGACTAATTAATATCCTTTAATTATGATTTGTTTATTTATCTAGCTTGTTATATACAACATTAAAAAACTATATTGAATTAGGAATATGTCAAGGATAGATTTGGAGAAGAAAATTGAACACCTTGATTTTGTGAAATATTAATGGTTTTGAATATAATTTAATGTAATTGTTATTTTTTTTATCTTAAATAGGTTCATGTATTTGGCGATTATTTTTATTTTGGAGAAAATAGTTTGATCAGATGAAAGTCGCATATGGATATGTTTGGAAATGCAAGATTACTAAATTAGGAGAAGAAGAGAATAAAACCCCGTTTCTCCCCCGTATAAGCACTACAATCTATCCCGATTCTCGATCTTCAAAATTTTCTTAACTAGAGTTAATATGACTCATATTTTCAAAAAAATTGAAGATGTATTATATCATGTTTAATTATTTCTTTTGATCTTCTCTGGACTATCTTCACCTTTCTTACAACTCGTTATAGTCAAACTTTGAAACATTCTCATTAATGCCTCCACACACATTTTCTATACATGCATGAATCAGATTAATCTCTTTTCCGTTATATAATTCGTTACAAAAATTACAATAATATTTTGAACTAATCGTAATCGTGGATGTGGATGAGTACTAAATAAAAGTTGTTGGGAACTTTGGAATATAGAAAACAACAAAGAAGAAAAGTTTGATGAAAATTCCATAAATGAAAATAGTAATGATTAAAGCATCATAGTCAAACATATGATAATTAGTTGGCTTTAATAATTGTCAATATAAATGTTTCTCAAAATAGACATAAATTTGGTTATGTTGACCAAAAGCTTTTACCCTACATGCCTAGATGTAAACACCCTTGTTACAAAAAAATGCCAATTTTCAAACACAACTTAAAAACTAAGTATTGCACTATTTGGTTACTTCTTAGCAAAAAAAAATTATTCAATTTTATCATTCGTTATATTTCATCCTACCTATTCATATCATATTGATTTTCATTATTTACAAGAGGTAGATTCGCACATGTTTAAATTCTTCGATTCAAATATTTCCTTTCAATTTTTTGTTACAATATAAAATCACCTTCAAACTGAAATATCATTAAAGGTCAAGGACCAAAACGAATAAAAGTAATATTCGACAGTAACTTGCGGAGGATAATATTACTTAATTTCATATAGTATATAGATAAAGTTGACCATTTCTTATTAAAGAGAGAGAGATACAATAGATGAGTCTGATTTTTCTATAATCAAAAGTCTTAGATTTAAGCTTTGATGTGAAACATTCTTGGTAGGAAACACTTTCCCCCCGAATCGAACCCTAAACAATGTAAATCTGAAATAGTCGAACTTTAACGTAAATATCAAACAAAGGATCGATTTAAAAAATAAAATGAGAGAAATGTAGTGGACCACTTATAATTAACTAAACTATATGGGCTACTTAGTCAATATTGACAAATGTTCTATTACTATATTTGTATTTCCTTTTCCAGCGCCGCCTGACTAGGGAGATATAGTAGATGCTAATATTATTTTGTACTTTCCAACACAAGTAATTTAATAAATTATTTAATATTAATAATTAGAAAAAACAACTTTTTTTCCCCCAAGATACGTTAATTAATTAAATTATTATTAGAATTAGAAAGATATTTATCATTAGCCAATAACCTTTTTGCTTCGTGATTTTCATTAATGCATTTGCAGGATACATTAATCAAATTATTAGCAATATAACAAAAATTATGCAATTTTTGAATCAAGAATTCAACTAAATTCATTGTTTTCGATTAATTATTTAAATTTTAATAAATATCATATATAAACTTATTATTTTAAAATATTATAACTTATAAGTTATCATATCTAAATATTGGATCAACTTTTATACATCTCGAATTGTCGAGAAAAAAGTATAAAACTTTAACGTAAGAAGTAAAGTAGGAATCTCTTCTTTTTCTTCCTTTTTTTTGGGATAAATTCTAAAATCACTCGAAAAATGTATGAAGTCCTTTAATTCGAACATTCCCAAGTAAGAGTCGAGAATCTTTAAAGTTAAATTCGATTAAATAAATTAAATAATTTATAATTAAAATCTAAATATTTAAAAATTATACTAAAAGTATAATATAGTTGTAATTGTACTCATGTCAATTTGACGGAAAAAAGTTATTTTTAAAGTTATTATAATTTGACTCTCGAGAATTGAAATATAACTAATTTTGGACGGAGAGAATAATAAGTAGTACATTGTATGTAACAAACAATGGACCAACAATAAAAAAGATTGACTAATTTCTAAAATTGACCAAAAGTTTTTAAAGTTAGAAAGCAATTCTAATCAAACTTTTATATTTCTTTCTGGCAAAGGAAGAAGAGAAATTCAAATAATTTAAAATCATATAAATGCATAAGCTTCAAAATAATATCGTGATGTCGGAGTCAACTTGTATATGTGTCTAAGGGTGTACACTGATTGGTTCGATTTAATTTTATGTACTATCGATTTAATTTATCGATTTTCTATTTTTAAAAAATATGCTAACTCAATATAACAAATCGATAAAATATTCTTTATCGATTTTCAATTTATCAATTCTTGATCATCAACAGTCAGGTTTTCGATTTACCTAATAAAAGAATATCTGTAAAATATTATGTCTTCTCACTTCTCTAAATGCTTTGATATGATGAAACAAAAAAAATAATGAGAAATTGCATCAATAAGAGAAAATATAGTGCGAAGACTATAATTACATGTTATCACGAAAACATAGCACAATGAACTAAAATAAACTAGTCCAACAAGACTAAAACTAAAAATAAAATCAAAATAGCTACAATTCTTTAATCTTTAGGTATATAGTAAAAACTAATATAAAGTTTCCTAGTGTGAAGTCGGTAGAGTACTAATAATGTGATATAGTTATAGTGTAATTATATATTAATTATTACTCCCTCCGTTTCAACAAGGATGACCTAGTTTGACTTGGAACAGAGTTTAAGAAAAGAAAGAGGACTTATTAATCTTGTGGTTCTAAATTAAAGTTATGTCAAATGTACCAAAATGTCCTTTAATCTTCTGATCTTAAGCATGTCACGTGGAAAATTAAAGTTAAAGTGTTGCCAAAAATGAAAGTGAGTCATTCTTTTTGAAACAGACTAAAAAGGAAATATGATCATTCTTTTTTAAACGAAGGGAGGAATATTTAAAAATTAGGAAGGGTAAAATAATAAATTATAACTGTCTTATTGATTTATTGATTTACCCAATAACCCAATAGTAAAAACCGATACCGAACCCATAACCCAATAAAAAAATTTATAAACCCATTGAAAACCCAATAACCCAATAACATTTTTTTCGATTCGATTTATCAGTCGGTTCGATTTTTTCACACCCCTACACGTGTCCACTAAATTCCACGAGGTACCCACTCTCACTACCTCCCATCAGCACAGTTACCAGATAACTCTAATCAATAAGGCTAGAAGAAATCTCCGAGCAGCATAGTTATCGAGAAACTCTGTCCACATTATTGACTACTAGACTATATCCTCCAAGTGCAGACTGAATGTATAATTATGGCAATGCATTTGGTACAAATTTCACTTTTGGCTATAAAGATAATTAGCAACAACTAAAAAGAACTAAGTGTTGTTTAATGGCATTCATCACACAACTTTCAGTTGTTAAGCATACACATGGTGAGGCCTGTTTAACAAGTTTCTTTGCCTTCCCCGCAACAGATTATGGACACTATATCGCGTAGTATGTCCATAATAAGCATGTCCAATGCACAAAGCATTATGCGTTCATGCACAGTTCCGGGAAGAGGGGCTATAATGCGCATGTCATTATAATGAAATCACAGTTGCAGAGAAATGCATCATCTGGTAATCTAACTAATTTGGTTAGTCCCACTAGTTGTATAACTGAAAATGTAGCTTAGCAATAGAAAAAAAATGATGAAGATGGAGATAATTTTCTTGTTTCTTTTCTTTCAAATTCACCTTCAGTCTCATGAAAAGCAAAGAACCAGATAATAAGTTATCAAAACATGGTGACCATGTCACTTTTTTTGGAAGATTTATAGTTTGACATAAGATCCAACTTCATAGTTGTTTCTACCCGTTAAAGTTTTAAAAAAACTTCAGTCTTTGGTAAGGGAGGACTAAAGAGAAAAACTAGTCATCGTTGTTGTTAATGGTGCTTACCATACCATCCTCATGCCACTTCGAAAATCCTTCTTCAAGGACCTTTCTCATCCATGGGTGCCTGCAACATTCAATTGCCTCAGGAATTGTCAGCCAACTTCTTTTTCGGCGGCTCTGTTCTGGCCAACAGTCAAGCTCTTCCTTAACAAACAAAGCGAACATGGCAGCTCTACACAGACCTTCTGGACTGAACTCGTCCTGAAGTGTTTTGCTTTTAAAGGGGTAGTATCCCAAAAAATGCTGAAAAAGAAGAGGTATAAAATCAATACATACATGATAACAAAAGAAAAGGGAATGATATCACTTCTAAAGACGCTACAACCTACAAGTTATTTACACAAGATACTTATTTTAAGATAAAACGTTATGTTAATCAAGAGAGGATT